TTTGCTTTTGAAAACCCTAGAAATGTTAAAAAGGTCAAATGGCCAAATAAAAATTGCAATATTTACAATGCTTAAAATGATTTTTTTTAAAGCAAAATTATCAAAGTTAAAAATCTTGTTGGCGCTGATAGCCTTGTGGGCAGCGCTCTGTCATGTAGTGCTGTTGTGCTATGAGTGTCCCGAGTTCTAATCCAGACTCTTGGACCTTTCCGATCCCGCCCCCCTCTCTCTCTCTCCCTCTTTCCTTCCTATCATTATCACAATAAAAGGCAAAAACACCAAAAATGAATTTTAAAAAAGTGAAAATTTAGTGTATCACCCAGCCCTAGTGTCGCATATTGCAAAATGTTTAGGTTTAAGGCCCTGATCAGACAGAATGCGTTTTTTGGAGTGAGACGCGCCTTTTTAAAATTGTTTTCTATTGTCAGTGAGCGTTTTGCGCACTGTTTATGCGCCCCGGGTGCCTGCTGCGCCTCACGTTTTAAAGGGGTCATATGATGCTGCTAAAAAGAACATTATTTTGTGTATTTGGTGTAATGAAATGTGTTTATGCGGTTTAAAGTAAAAAAAACACATTATTTTCCACATACTGTACATTATTGTTTCTCCTCTATGCCCCGCCTTTTTGAAACGCCTCGATTTTTACAAAGCTTATCGGTCTGAAAAAGGAGCGACGAGACAAAAACATTAAAACCCATTACAAACGAGGCATTTGTTGCATCCAGTTTGGGACATCATTACTGATTATAATGACTTATACTGTCTTTTTAGTGTGGCTGACTCTGAACTTTTATAAAGAATATCTCTTTGGATTTGAGACTTTAGTCTTTGCAACTTTACAGATCTTCTTTATGCACCAAGAGCTTGTAACACTCCAAAGAGAAAGGAAAACTTGAAATCGCACCATATGACCCCTTTAATAGGTGCACTCTGAAGTTGAAAAAAAATAGCAACTTTGAGCAGAAAAGCACCCAACGTCATTCGCGTTTTTTTCCATTGTCCAATCGAATGAATGGAGAGGCAGGCCTTCTGTTGTGGTGACGAAAGTTAACCGTTGTACTTGACCGGAGACTGCAATGATGGAGGAGAAACTATTGGTGTCTGTCACGGGTTACCCGGGCCGGAGCTGTATTTTTAAGGTTTTTGTTAATATGGCAGTTTACTTAACAGCAAAAACCAAAGATTTTAGAGCGCTCGCGCTATAATCCTTTGATTAGACTGACAGGACAGCTGAATTGGTGGTTGCCTAGCAGTGCACTGCTCTTTTTTTTTTAAAGTCACCAAAAAAAAAAGGCAGTGCAGTGCGCCTTGCATTTTCAGATCTAAAAAAAAACGTGTTTGGTCTGAACGGGGCCCTAACTCTGCTTAACTAGGTTTAACTTGTGCAGATCTTCGGACTAATCCTGGCACCCTCGCCTCCTCTCACTTACAGTACTTACTCAGCCGAGACGAGCTGCTGAGAGGAATGAGACGCAGCCAGACCGCCATAGTGTGATCCACCGTCCCGCCGAGAGCGTACCTCAACCTAACCCACCTCACCCTCAAAGCTTCAGGACCTGAACTGTGTAACACAAGAGTAACACAATCCTACCTAATCCAGCTCAAGAACACAGCTCTACTATTCCTGTTATTGTATTACTAATTATTTTTGATGTGTTTTGAGGTTATAGTGTACTGTTTGGCAATCAGATCTGTGTTAGAGAGAGCGAACAAAAAAAAAAGATTTTGTGTAATATGTGGACAGCACTTTTCAAACCTACAAAAGCCTTTCTGTCAATAGTTGAAATCATCTACCTCAACCAATGTGTTTTTCTTAAAATATTGTATTCATGTAGCCAATGGAACTGGATGTAAGTAGCCTAAATCCTTTGTTTGCCCAACACTTTGTCATTTTCTTAGGCTGTTTTACTTAATCTTTTTTCAAAACTATGTAATATGTTAAAAGCAGTTTGTTTTTTGAGAAGGTATGGTTGTTTGCTTGATATACCTCTGTTAAATCCACCCCAAGAGTTAAAAAGGGTTTGTTGTGGTGCTAGGTGGCTTTATGCTGTGTATGACGACTTGCCCAATGTGTCCCATGACCCAACTGACAAACACAGTGACAAACTTTGGGAAGCCCTTATATGACGGCTAAGCTTTAAATGAGCACACTTATCTTAATAGGACTCCAGAGAAGAGAAGAAAGATCCAACCGCAGGTTCACTCTCACCCAGTACAAAGGAAAGAATAATATTGGTGAGTTATTTTACCTGACAACATTTTACATGTCCATTGACAACTATTTTATTATAACATAAACACTGTAATGTTAGCGATGCCACCTATTTGATTTTTAATTATTTTAATATTTTTGTTGTTAAATGTTCATTTGTAATAATAGAAATAATAGATATTGTACTTTATAATAGAATTTGTAAAATATAAATAAACTGTGTGTGTGTGTGTGTGCGTGTACACTACCGGTTAAAAGTTTGGAATATTTTTTTTTTTAATGCAGTTTTTGAAAGAGGTCTCTTATTCTCACTAAGGCTGCATTCATTTGATCAAAAATATTGTGAAATATTACAGTTTTTACTCCAGTCTTCAGTGTCACAAGATCTTCACAATTACTGTATTATTGGTGCTCAGTTATTAATAATGGTGGTGGTTATTGTTATTGTTATTATTATTACCCATGTTAAAAACCGTTTTTGTTATTTTGGGGGAAACTGATATTTTTCTTTGTTGAATAAAAAAAATTATCATTTAATGCATTAATGCTGAATAAAGTATTAATATCTTTTAAAAAACTAACTGATAGTATATATTTTAATATACATACAAATATACACGCATATGTAAATATACATACGTAGATATTTCTTAAATATATACATGTATATGTGTGTATTTATACATACATATAAATATACACCGTACACACATTATGTAAACACAAACTTTTATTTTGGATGCAGATCACAATTAATTGGTTTTGACAGCCCTAAATAAAACTATTCGGTTTTAAAAATGCAAACATTACAAAGTTGCTTTTAATCAATTAATTAATAATTAAGTATTAAAAAAATAATAATTTTTATGATTTTTTGTTTGTTTGTTTGTTGTTAAATTTCATTCATTTTGAATTTGACTTGATGAGATAAAGCAAAATTTGAAGAAATAGTAAATGGAAAATGCAATAATGTAATTATGTATCAATATTTCCAGTGTATAAGGGAAACCACGGTTTGAACTAGACCAGCTGGAATGAAGCAAACAGATCTGCAGTATGAAGCCAAAACCAGTTTTTTCAGAACCTTATGGGCTAAACCCAACAAAACCGCCTCGGCAGACCTCATCCACCTCTTTAGCGACTGCATCCAGGCGGCTTCATCGAGGACAAAGGAGTATCTGCTCTTCAGGGATCCGGAGAACAAATTCCACCCAAGTCCTTCAACCCTAAGCGAGATCTTTCTGATGACCTACATCCAGCACAGCAGCCTGCTGAATCTCACCGACACGTTCAACTGCACGGCCATGACCCCAGAACAGAGGATCCTGCTGGGTGCCCACTGGGTCTGGGCCGTGTTGGATCAGCCCAGCAAGAACCCCCGAATCCAGATCGCGGTCCAGGTGTTTCATCTGCCGGAAAGAACAGAGGACAACGACGAGGAGCTGTCCTTGGATATCTACAGCGACATCATGCGCATGGCCGGGATGGATGTGGTGGAAAGAACCCAAGCTGAGAGGATGGTGGAGTTCTGCTCTTCCATCGGCAGAGACTGTTACGCGCTTTTCCTCTTTTTTGGGCGCCAGAACGACGAGGGGAACATTTACGGGCTGCTGAGCAACAATCTGCAAGCAGCTGTGGGGAAGTGTGTGAGGATTGACCAGGTCTTTATCGATCACTTCTTCAAAGGTGCGAAATGCTTCGTCACTCCAAGTGAGATGTTAAAAGCAGTGGTTGGTAAGGAGGGTGGCGATCCTCTGACCATGCTTGTTAAGTTTACTTAACAGCTGAGCTGTTTTTACTCGATTTAATACCTTTTTTTGTGGGTTTATTCTAACGAGCAGCTCACCACTTGGTAACAGATGCTTTGAATGCAACTCTGGGTCTGTATGTTGATGCTTTCCCTAGACTTTCCAGCCTTATAACTAGTGTCTGGTGTCTGTCTGTCTCCAGCAATACTTAACTGTTACTAGATGCAATTAAAATACAAAATAATGTGCAGAAATACATATTATCTATCTATCTATCTATCTACCTACAGTATCTATCTACAGTATGAATGCAACTCTGGGTCTGTATGTTGATGCTTTCCCTAGACTTTCCAGCCTTATAACTAGTGTCTGGTGTCTGTCTGTCTCCAGCAATACTTAACTGTTACTAGATGCAATTAAAATAATGTGCAGAAATACATATTATCTATCTATCTATCTATCTACCTACAGTATCTATCTACAGTACCTATCTATCTGTCTGTGTCTGTCTGTCTGTCTATCAGTATGTCCGTCTGTCCATCTATCTATCTGTCTATCCATCTATCTCTCTATCTATCTCTCTCTCCGCTTGTTTTTTATATAAACAAATATTTGTATTTTTAATTTAGATGTTCCACTCATGGAAAAATCTTATCCTTCATCTTTTTTGTCCTTTTACAGCAAAAATAATTGGCATTACATTATTTCATATATTAACTCTTGTTATCAGAGAAATCTGTCAAAATGATATTTTAATTATAACATATATTCATATTTTTTATTTAAATGCACCCATTCATAAATCAATAAATTCTTGATTGTTATTGGTCTTGATCATTGTCAATAATTAACATATGTCTTGTTTTCAGAGAATCTATATAAATCTAAATCTAATCAAATATTCTGAGGGTTGTAAGAAATGAAAAATGTATTTAATCCAGAAGGTGTTTTCCTTTTTTGTATTTTTTGCCATACATCGTGTAAAAAAAAAAAAGTAAAACCATGGAAAACAACTTGGGGGGGGAAAAAAAAGATTTTTTTTCCTGAGATAACTTACCACAAACAAAACCAAATGGGTTTAACAAAAATCTATTTTTAAACCTACATCTGGCAACAATTTGACATGTTTAACGAGATGTAAACCACCTTTTACAAATTATCAGAGAATTTGTTTGTGCAATATCATTGGCAGGAGATTAGTATGCAAAAGTATTCTCTATTTTGTAGCCCAGCTTGTCGAGGTTTGGCAGACACGCGTACTGGATCATGGGGGGTGGACCGCACATCACGATGAGCACATCATTGGCCGGAGGCGGGAGATGGTCTTTTATCATGTCAGCATCAACAAACCCTTTGCTGTATTTCCACCCTGTCACAAGAACATAGACAGAAAACCTTCACAGTCATCTCTACTGCAGGGCAGTCAAATGATCATTATTAGTATTCATCTAGATATTTATATCATATGAACTGTATACCTTCAGAGGGCTTGTCCAGTGTGCACCAGATTGAGTTTATCGGGGTGATTTCTATGAACTTCATCCAGCTCTTTGCGTAACAATATGTCCTTCTTAGTCTGTGGGAGTGAAACACACTTTCTTAGAGCACAGCTGACAAACATGAGGTGTTCTGATGTTTATTAAGTGTGAATAATGTGCTTCTTGGCAAGTGTCAAATATGATGTGTTAACACTTGTGAAAAATATACTACTGTAATTCAAAACAAGTGTTTAGAAATCTCTGCAAAATTAAAAAGTTTAAATTTTATTTATTTTTTTATTTAGAGGATCCATCATTCCTATGAAACTTTGTATATTTTTTTATTATTAATGGAAAATTATATTTATACTTATATGCTCCACTATAATTAAGAAACCACATAAAAATTACATAAGATATTAAGTCTTGTTTTCAGAGAAATCTACCAAGATGTTTATTTGTGTGAGATGTTAAGACTTGTGTTCAGAAAATATCTGAATTGTTTATTTTGCTTATTCAGTTGGGAATGTTTTTGTGATTAGGAAAAAATATAACAATTTTAAATCAATGAGTAATTGATTAAAACGAGGGGGAAACATTTAATTATTGTTACTAAAGTAAATTAATCTACTTTTATAGAACAATTTGTTCAATTTGATTTGATTGGTCAAGCGGTTGTTGTAGCACTAGTTCACTGTTGTATCACTCCGCTTGTCTTCACTGTATTTCAGTGAAGACTACGCGAGCAGTTCGTAGTTTGTCTTACGAAAAGAGCGAGTTTTATTGAAGTCAGAGCGTCAGTATTTTCTCCCGCGCAAGTGGAGCTGCGTGGGGTTTTGTCTTGTAGTATGGAACGAGTTTTTCAAAGTTACAAGCGTCAAAGTTTTATTTCGCTCCCTGCTTGACTTGGACCGGGGAAAGTGAAAACAGAAAACCCGGAACGGATCTCGACAGAGAGGGTATGCAGCGCTATCTCTATCACTCCGCTCCACTCACTAACTGACTCCAGTCCAGTCCTGCTTTCCGCCGGTACGTTGGTAAAGCTTTGACTACCGTTGGAACTATTTTCTATGGAGGCGAAAAATGTATGCAAGTGAATAGCTAATTTATGTATGAAACGTAAGTTTTTCTATATTATTTACTTAATTGAGGATGTTTAGATGTTGTTACTGTAAAGCAACACATGAACAAAACATTTCTGAACAAAAAAAAAAATTTTACTACTAATAATAATTAGTAAGAAAGAGAATTCTGTAGGCTATCGCATTAGTAGGCCTATGTCACATTAGGCCCCGAATTTCATTGTCAAAAACATATTGCTTGCCGTGTTTAATCTCCATACGCATATTGATCTCTTTTTACAGTATTGAATTGCTTATTTATTTATTTGTTCGCTTAATGAATATTTCGTCATAAATGTGACTGACCTGGTTGGCAAATATAAGGGAGCACTTGGTGTTATCAGCAGGATCTGCGGTTATACTCCTGATCAGCTGCAGCATTGGAGTGATGCCTGAAAGAATGAACGTGTCATCTTCAATTAATACATATTTTGATGAATTATCTTGGCAGCAACGCCTGGAAACCTACTAAGAATACTTTGGAGCCTGTTCAAAATATGTCCATCATTACCTGTTCCTCCAGCAATCATGCCCACGTGTCTGAACTTCCGCACTTTGGGTTCAGATTTTTTATCAGGTCGAATAGCAAACTGCCCTGTAAATGTCAGTAAGGAAATATATTCAGCATCTGAAGCATTTAAATATTTTAAAATGCATCGTGTATGCAGGTCATGCATTTGTTATAGCAATCTTAAAATAATAAGACATCGCCCTCTAGTGACTGAATACATTGCATCATACAAAGCAGTGGTGTGCATATTGTAAATTATGTGAGAATTATGTTAGGCTATTATATTGTATTTTTCCTTACCATTTCCATTGTATACCAGTAATCCATTTGGACCCCTAAAGTCAATGGTGTCTCCAATCTTCATATCATTCAAGTACTGAGACATCTTGCCTCCATCGGGATAGTTTGGATGAGTATTTTTGTAGTAGACCTGCCGTAAGATATTAAAGAAAGGGATTTTTTTTTTTTTTTTAAACGTATGAAGTATAGCCAACTATAAAACATAACCAGTCATTTGCAACTACAAAATGTATTGCAGCGCACCTTTACAACTAGATCAACGTATCCCTGGTCCTCATCGCTGGACACAGGTGTGTATGCACGAATAACCAGATTCCCATTCACCTTTGCAGACAGGTAAACATGCTGACCTGTGACACAGAATACAAGATCCGCCTTAGAAAATGAGTGAAACTCAGGTGATACTGTGAAATTATACTGTTGTCAGATTTCAAGGTCAGGTGATTCTGCTGACGTGATAAAGGTATATAGCGCAATGTCCTACCAATAGGGAGACCAAGAACGTGAGAAGAGGACGGAAGACCAAACCGGAATTTTTTCGTGTCATGAGTGATTTCCTGTTGCAAAGCAAATGCAAGTAGTTCAGTTGAGTTGCAGTAATATTCGTGCTTTCCTTTGCAGGAGAAATCTCTGTTCACATTTAAATTCTGACTGACCTCTTTTTCTGTGAGTGGCAATGGATATTTCACATTGGGATCCTGCAAGGTTTTGGGAAACTTGCTCTGCTTTCGGCCTCCATTGGAGCCTCCTGGTTTTAGGAGGAGGAAGAGGACCGTGATCACCACTATAGATATCCCGATTAGCACAGGTACTGTCTGCAAAGTACATGTTAAACACGTTACAACTAAATGATAAAAATGATAAATATCAATTTAAAGTTTAATTATACTAAACATTTTAATTATAAATGCATATCTTTCTTTTCAGGAAAGGAACTAGAGTGTTAAATCTATGTATTATTTAATATAATTTAATTATCTAACATTTCAACACTACATAATTCCCATGCTTGCAATATTTTAATGACTTAACTATATTATTCTGTATTCTAAATATAGAATTATTCTATAATTTTGTAGACAAAATGTAGTTAAAATATACATATGTAATATATATATATATATATATATATAAACTAGTTTTAACAATTATATTAACTTTAATAATAATATTAATTATATAATCTACATTACTTTTTCTTTTGTTTTAATTGCATGAGTTCACATAACTCCCATGCTTGCATTTGTTTTGATGACTTAACTATTATTCTAAAATGTGAAAATAGTCATAATAACAGAGTAGGTGTGTTTAAGCATTTGACAGTATACAGAACAACTAACACTTATAAACTATTGGCATATTGTGCTACATTCAACATTGAGTTGATAACCTGCATATGTCTGTAATCACTTCTCACCTTCTTTCCACTGCTGTCATTCGAACCAGAATAAAATCAACAGACAACTGTGAAACTGACAGGGAGGAAAGCGAAGGTGCTAATTGCTTTTTGCAAAGCAGTGAATTTGTGAAAGTGCAGTCAATTTAAAAAGGGAGAAATAAATTACTCACTAGAACTTGATCCATGCTGCAGTCTTTTTCCTGTATTGCATCCGTTAGTATGGTCAGGGTTCAGCGTATGTGAGGTAGAATTTGTTCATGGTTCATTTCTTTGCTGTATTCCAACCTTTGCACCAAGGCCAGTTGATAGTAGAAGAGTATGGAGTTAATGAAATGCAGCCAATTGGAGTAGGCCTCGCAGTGGCCCCAGCCAATAGGAATAGAATATTCAAATGAGCAGGCTGTGACAGAGCACTGCCTATGGTTGTTCATGTATCTGTGTGAATGGTGTGGGATCACTCCACTGCATGATAACACATTCAGAGGGATGGGTCAAGGAAAGCCCTCAAGTACAGTAGGTTAGGCGAAGGCCATTAGAGTAGGAACAGAAATGCCTGACATTTTTGAAGATTTAAAATGTTTTATTCGAGTTAGCAAAGGTGATCTTGGTTTAAAAAAATCAAAATTGTTTCAGAATACTTTAGAAAGAAAGATTTTACAAAAAATATACAGATTTTTTTTTCTGAACAAGAAGTACATATGCTAGTAAGTAAACAACAAATGTATACCTCACAACTGACAATTTATGTTAAAGGGGTCATATGATGCGATTTCTATTTTTCCTTTTCTTTAGTGTGTTATGTAGCTATTTGTGCATGTATAAGATCTGCAGAGTTACAAAGCTCAAAGTCTCCCACAAAAGGATTTATTCTATCTAAAAGAGAAGGCTGATCCAGACCGGGCTAAAACGCCTCGTTCTAACACGCCCCCACATATCTACCTCACGATGTGGAAATATTTGCGTAATGCAGCCCAAATGTGCTGTGTTTCAGTGCGAAAGCAAAAGCACTTTATTTGGCCTTCCGGAAGTAGATGCAATCATTGGTTAAGATTTATTTACAACAGAACAGCACAATCCGGATGTTCGAATTTGTGCAACGCATTTTATGGATAGTAGCCTACAAGGCTGGCTGTGCAAAGGCTATTTCTAAAAAAAAATGGGTCAATTCCGACTTTGCTATGACAATCTGGCGCTTATTCTGAATCAGCTACTGTAAGTATGTTTTCTTAATAGTTTAAGTATTTGCTATTGACTGTTCAAAAGCGGCGTTTTGGGCCGTGTAGAGTATCGAGTTGTGTGTGCGTGAGAGAGAGACAGGGTCACATCACAGTGGCTTGTGTACTGCAAATACATACCAGCAAAATCATTGTGTCTGTCACGCGACTCTGTTCCCCTTTCGGGATTGAACTGATGGCAAAACTAAGGACATTATGTACTGTCTTTACATTTATGTTGAAAGCTGCTTGTCAGAAGGAGGGGCTTTGTAGAAAACAACGCATTTGAGAGAGGCGGAGCATAGAGGAACTACAAAAATGTACAGTATTTGAAAAATAATGTGTTTTTTGAACATTAAAGCATGTCAACATATTCTGTTACACCAAATACACAAAATAATGATCTTTAAAATAGCATCATATGACCTCTTTAAATGGTTATGTTAATATGTGAGGTTTTCACTCCATGTCTAAATGCTGTGAGATCCAGTGCATAATGGCTGGTACTGAGGAATATACCGCACACTTCTGGATTCCACCACACGGTTCTCCCCGACCCTTCACTTCCATCAGAACAACACCAGATGTGTTTGTTAGACAAACGAGAGGTCCAGCAGTCCAGTGAGTCTAGAGCGAGACAGTATTCCAGAGAAAAGAACCAAATGTAAGCTACTATTCACCAAAATTTGCATTTGCAACATTGACTTCAAATGAATTGCTCACCCAAAAAATGAATTCTGCCATTATTTACTCACCCTCATGCCATTCAACATATTCTGTTACACCAAATACACAAAATAATGATCTTTAAAATAGCATCATATGACCTCTTTAAATGGTTATGTTAATATGTGAGGTTTTCACTCCATGTCTAAATGCTGTGAGATCCAGTGCATAATGGCTGGTACTGAGGAATATACCGCACACTTCTGGATTCCACCACACGGTTCTCCCCGACCCTTCACTCCCATCAGAACAACACCAGATGTGTTTGTTAGACAAACGAGAGGTCCAGCAGTCCAGTGAGTCTAGAGCGAGACAGTATTCCAGAGAAAAGAACCAAATGTAAGCTACTATTCACCAAAATTTGCAACATTGACTTCAAATGAATTGCTCGCCCAAAAAATGAATTCTGCCATTATTTACTCACCCTCATGCCATTCCAAAATTTCTTTGTTGAGTCTTCAACAGTCTTCAAAATATCTTCTCTATTTTTGAACGTGGTATAGTAACAGTGATGCTCATTAGCAAATTGGCAATTAATGACCTAAAATTTGGTCTGTTTCTCATATATCGACATTACTTTTTTGTGCTCTTTAGAGCTTGTGCTGTTTAACATCTCCTTTTGTTGTTACATCAAAGAAAGCCATAGGCTGCAACTGAAATCACATCTCTCTCTAAGTAGGTACTTCTTTTGAATATGTAATTACTCCGCAACAGCTAGGAAAGTATGTTCTGTATAGCATGAATGTAATGCGGATGTGCTACATCTGTCATGTTATTGATGATGTCATTGATGTCACATGGACTATTTTAACGATGTCCTTACTACCTTTCTGGGCCTTGAATGTGTCAGTTCCGTTGCTGTCTATGGAGGGTCAGTAAGCTCTCGAATTTCATCAAAAATATATTAATTTGTGTTCCGAAGATGAACAAAGCTCTCACGGGTTTGGAATGACATGAGGGTGCGTAATTAATGACAGAACTTTCATTTTTTGGATGAAATATCCCTTTAAGTAACTGAGTATGCGTTTTAAGAATCATTACCAAACGTACCCACTAGAGGTCAGCATTTCTTCAATTACATTTCCTTGTAGTAAACAGTGAGTGTTTAGTGTAGTTTACAGTTGCTCACCATGCATGATTCTCCACTGCTCAGTCCAGCACATAGCATAGTAGGTGTCAATCTAGTTCTGTGGCGTTGTTCACACACCGCTCGTTCCAGCACTGATATTTTTAGCCGTACAGGTCTGCACTGCCCATGTCCTGCTAAAAAGAGTGCATAACATTCACCTAAAGCTCAAAATGTGCAACAGAGAAATTAAAATTATGCTTTAGGAAAGTTGCTCAAGTGACATTCAAGATCATTCAAGTTCAACACTAGGTCAGGTAATTAATGACAGAACTTTCATTTTTTGGATGAAATATCCCTTTAAGTAACTGAGTATGCGTTTTAAGAATCATTACCAAACGTACCCACTAGAGGTCAGCATTTCTTCAATTACATTTCCTTGTAGTAAACAGTGAGTGTTTAGTGTAGTTTACAGTTGCTCACCATGCATGATTCTCCACTGCTCAGTCCAGCACATAGCATAGTAGGTGTCAATCTAGTTCTGTGGCGTTGTTCACACACCGCTCGTTCCAGCACTGATATTTTTAGCCGTACAGGTCTGCACTGCCCATGTCCTGCTAAAAAGAGTGCATAACATTCACCTAAAGCTCAAAATGTGCAACAGAAATTAAAATTATGCTTTAGGAAAGTTGCTCAAGTGATATTCAAGATCATTCAAGTTCAACACTAGGTCAGCTTTCAATTTATTCAACAAGTAGTCATGAAATGTCATGTTTGCACACACACAGATATCAGCCAGACTATTGTGTAACCATCACAATGGTCAACTTGTGAAGGCAGATGGGTGACGTACACATTTGGCTGGTCCACGCCGGAGCCCAGCAATGGAGGGAGGGTGGGATTTCCTGTCCAGCAGAGGGTAGACAGACAGGCTGCGTACTTTCACTGAGATTTAACGGAGAGCTCAGCTTAAGCAAAGCCACATTGTAGTCGAGAGAGAATGGGCTGTAATGAGGGTGTACGAGTACTCCAATCACGTCATGGACCTGAGAAAGAGATATTTGTGTTAAAGGAATAGTTCACCCAAAAATGAAAATTCTGTAGTCAATTTTGGGTGAACTATCCCTTTAAGACACAAGATGAATGAATTTGATCCCAAATCCAAATCTTTCCATTCCATCCAATTTTCTTGTTCTTCCTGTCGATGTCCATCTCACCTGTTTCTTTGAGCCTCCTGCTGTCACTGATAAAAGTCTCAAATGTCGTTCTTCCCTACAAAGAAATTATCAATCATCATAAAAAAGGTACTATACTGTTTTGAATAAGTTTGAATGTCTTTTTCCAATGGTAATTTTTTGAACATTTCTTGCATGTTTGTTGCTCACAGGTCATAGACACAGTGTGCTTCAGTAAGGATCCATTGCAACTGGATGATCGCCCCACTGCATTCATAACCTGCACCCAAACTAATGCTCACGTGCCACGACAGTTTCCCATCATCCTCTGTTGTCCTTGGGGCTTCCAGTCCAGAGGTAGCAAAGATGTCAGGCATTCCATACGGAGCTGAGAATTCAGTGGAACATGTGCATGAATGCTTGAGGTAAAAACCAAATACACATTCACAATCTGTTCAGAGATAAACACATTCTCATTTGTGACTCAATATGTGTGTGTTGCCTTATTTTACACATTTTCTGACTCCAGCTGGATTCCACGCATTCTAAAGGCCCTCTGAGACAAGGAGTCTCTTTTAGAGCTCAACAAAAAAGTCGATGTGACTGTGGACAGCAGAAAGGACAAAAGCAAGCGTGTGTGCAGCACAAACCAGCCTGCAAATGTGGTGAGAGAACTCTGCTGTCATCATCTGCTTCCTCCCCCTGATCTCCAAACGCCGTCTCTCTGAGATCTGTGATGACAAAATCATTTTTGTCATCATTTCACGCTTCAGAAGTCTTTGGTTACAAACTCAGTGGTGTCAAAGAAAGACTTAGTATGTTGGGTTCTGTATAAGCAGTATTCATTGTGTCTTTGTTGCAGAATGGGTTTTTATGTAAAATATTAAAAAATTATAATATATTTTTGTGGTGTCCAACTGTTAGGTACGACTTCTCTCCTAATTTAATATAAATATTTTAATTATAAATTATATTACTAACATAACAATCAAGGGAAAAGTTCAGTTTAAACATTTATATGAATTTGAGACATTTTTGAAAAAAATCTTGAATTTTATTTTTTGTACACATAATGTATAATATCATACATAACATAATATCAAATAACCTTTATTTTAAGTTTTTTTTCATTAAGTTTTATAAAGTAAAGTATATGTATAAATGCGCATAGACAGCAATGTGATTTTAACTTTACTGTTGACCTTTCAGAGGAAGTATAAATATTTTTAGGCTGGCTCGCGTGTTTATGCTGTGGCATACTATTTATACATGTGGGTTACATGTGAGTCAGGTTTGGTTGGGTGAAATGTGAAATGTGAACACCTCCTGTGAGCATTTTTCTTCACTCATGTTGACTCTCACCTTTTTCGCTGATAAAAGAAAAGGAGGCGTTGAAACCATGGGCTGAGATTGTGTTGTCTGTGCTAAACTGTAGAAGCATTATGC